AAACTTCTCGCTTCTCATGTCACGGGCAACTCGATACATGAGATCATCAAGAATTTAAGAACTTTAAGTCCAGGAGAAACTCCAAGGAATGTGAGTGGCAAAACAGCTATGATCTTTGCTGGACAAGGTGCTCAATATTCTTGCATGGGACTGCAGCTTAGTGATATGTTCCCAGTCTTTAAGCATTACTTCGAGAAATGCTTGACTATTGCTGACAAACATCTAGCTGAAGATTTCAAGTTACTGGAAATCATCCGAAATCCAACCAAAGTTCACCTTCTACATAAGACCAAATTCGCTCAGCCGGCGATGTTCGCCTATGGTTTTGCATGCGCAAAACTATGGGAAACAATCGGTTTCGCACCAGATTTTTACCTCGGTCACAGCGTGGGAGAGCTGGTAGCTGACGTCGTTTCAGGTATTTTGAACCTAGATGAAGGCATATGGTTGGTTGTTAAGAGGGGCATTGCGTTGGAAAAAATTGCGAACCGTGGAGGATTACTTGCAGTGGACAGCGGGGTAAAATCAGAACTTCTTTCGAAATTTGATGTGTCAATAGCGGCTATGAACAGTCCAAAGCAAATGGTCATTGCTGGAAAATATGATGAGCTTGAAGCTGTGTATGAATTTATGACGTCTAGGAATATGCAATGTACAGTCATCAACGCTCGATACCCCTTCCACAGCGCCCTCATTCTAGATCAAGATTTGCACGATTTCAAAGAAGCGCTAAAAACTTTGGAGTTCAAAAAAGGTCGTACTCCTATTGTCAGTAATGTTTCTGGACGCTTGATCTCAACATTCTCGCCTGAGTATCTGATCGAACAGATACTGTATCCAGTGAATATGGTTGAATGCATCCGTACCCTAGAGTTCCTCAATGTTATCACTTGGGTGGAAGCGGGTACAAGTAACACCATTATTCCGTTTGTGCGCGAAACACTCGGGATCACGGAAAGGAAGAAACATGCACTTCTTTCCACAACTATGGAGAGAAGAAATGCCTCCGAGTGCTTTGTTCAGACGGCCCTCGAGCTCGAAAAAAGGGGGATTGAGATAAAGTGGCCTGCACTCTATTGTAGCAATGCGGATACTATCGCTCGCGAAAAACTAGTGGAATTTCCTTTGAAAGTGGCGGCGTCATTTACAGATGCTGATCGCCAAATTCTGAAGAATCACTATGTCGACGACGAGAACCTTATACCTGGAGCCTATCAGTTTTACATTCTACTAAAGTGGCTGAATGGAGCTTCTCAGTCCAATGGCTATTTCACATTGGTTAATATCAAATTTGTGAATGCATGGAAATATGAGGACGGGCACGACTACGAACTAATCCAAACCAACAGCGCCACCGTACACATTGTGGTAAAAGAAAAAATAAGGTGCACAAGTCAAATCCGTTTCCACAAAATTCCTCCCAAACCCTGTCTTGAAAAAGCCAGTGTCGAAATGGACTGCACTTTGGATTGCAATGTAGTGGATTTCTATGCCAGGATGGCTGTTAATGGACTTGACTACCGAGGACAGTTTCAAGCCATCAAATCACTGAGGTGGAATAAAACTCAAACGTATTCACTACTGGACTACAAAAATCCACAAACACTGTGGATTCTGATGGACGCTTCAATGCACGCAGTTTGTGTAAATGTCATAGACCACCGCCCCGATGCATACTTCCTTCCAGTCCATGTTGGAGAGATTTATCTGTGTCCTGATATAGATATATCACCATCAGAGGCAGTGATTGCCGTGACCGAAAAGGTGGCAGAAAATGAAAAGCACATCAGCGCACATGCATGCATTTATGCGGGTGATAAACTGGTCTTTCAATACAAGAATAAGTTTAGCTTGATCAAGAAGAGATGCGCACTTGAGGAGGTCGTCAACGCAGAAAATGTAGACAGAAAGGAACAGATGAAGATAATCCAGCCTTATTCTGAGAGCACTGAGTCGACAAAACACACCAAACCTGTTTATATTTTAAGCTTCGACGGAGATTTTCTTTATTCATCGTCAGGCAAAGCAGAGATCTGGCAGGACCTAAAAGCAGGAATATTAGGGCAAAGAACAGCACAAGGCAGTTCTGTCAAGTCGAAAATTGTAAAGTGGGACCCAGTCTTTTTCGGGATTACTCCGAAAGAAGCACCCTATATCGATATTCAACAACGTCTCATGCTGCAGTCTGTCGCGCGATGTCTGGAAGAGGCCAAACTAATAGAGATTACAAAGAAGACAGGAGTATTCATTGGCGTCAGCGGGAATGATTTCACAAATCGAGCATACAGCGAGATGAAAGAGAAAGCTAGTGGTTACTACAGCAGTGGAACTAACGGAAGCTGTATTGCGGGTAGAATTGCCCACTGGTTGAAGCTGGAAGGACCAGTTCTCGTTGTCGACACAGCGTGCTCTTCAACATTTACAGCTCTAACTTGTGCCATAGATTCTTTGGCTCAAAACAGATGTGACTACGCCATTGTGGGCGGCATCAATGTAATCCTTCACGACACAGTCACCGAAGTGTTAAAGAACGCTGGCATGTTGTCGGCGAAAGGAGTGTGCCACGTCTTCGACGCGGAAGCTGACGGATACATCAGGTCGGAAGTGGTTGGCTGCGTTCTGCTGTCGAGGCACGGTAGGGGTGCGCGATTCCAAATTCCATGCTGGGCCATAGGACATAACGGACAAGCCGCTTCACTTCAAGCACCAAACGGCACTTCTCAGGAGCGAGTGATGAAAGCCGTTCACAGAGAAAACCTGGTCGATGTGGAATGCCATGGAACCGGCACTTCCTTGGGTGATCCAATCGAGGCACAAGCCGTCTCCAACGTACACGGACATGTAACAGTGTCTAGCGTGAAGAGTCAAATCGGTCATGCAGAAGCTGCCTCTGGCATGGCTTCTTTGATCTCCTGTATGCTGCAGATGGAACACAGCTATAGGCTCAATCAAGCGCACTTCAAATGCCCAAACCCTCGAATCGACTGTCAGCGACTGCAGGTGAACGTTGTCGGCGAAGATCGCTCGGTCCAGGTTCTTGCGATAAACAACTTCGGATTCAGCGGTACGAACTGTTCCATTCTCCTACAGAAGGAGCCGGCTCGACATATTGCTTCCATCGGTGTATGCAAATATCACTTAGCGCCAATCTCTGCCAAAGATGAACAAACATTACTGAAGATGGTAGATGAAATTAAGGCATATGTGTTATCAACAAGCTACGACATTGGCGATGTTTGTACATCATTGCAGCAAAACAAACCTCATCATCGTTATCGTCATTGTTTACTCTACGATAACAAAAGGCGGATAGTTTGGGAGCATGGACAAAGCTGCAAAGTCTCCGTTCCAGAAATCGCTAAGAATGAGAGCGATTACATAGCTTTTGAGTACGGAAGGGGTTATCTTGTATATAAATCTCATTTTCATTCAAACGTGATGGTTTTCTGCACCAGCTTGTTGAATGGAGTACCATCCAACACGGTGTCTTCAATGACGGGTCCACAATTCCACGAATTCATAGGAAGCAAGTTTGTGGCAGGCCATTCCATCCAGTGGTCGCTGTACAACATCGCCAATGTGAATAATAGTGTCAAACTTCCCACTTATCCTTTCAAACAAGAAGCGTATTGGCCGTTTGATAATCTGTTCGCCAGTAATTTCAAAGCATCTCAGCGAAACGTCAAAGATATTCTTTACGAAAAGTCTCTTCTCGCAGTGTCCAAAGGCAAGCGTGACAGGAGTATCCCAGTTGTGGCCCTGGGCCGGAAAGTGCCCCTAGCAAATGTGACATATATCCCTTTGTCGGCTGTGAAATCTTTCGAAGCAGATCAAACACGTATTGTGCTTTATCATACCTACTCTTCGACAGTGAATGAAGCCCTCAGGGTGATGAAACTATGGCAAGCGCTTGAACATCGGCGAGCATCTGTTCTGATCGTAGCTTGCCGAAATAACACTACTTCATGCACGGAATGGACGGCACTCCTTCGTTCATTAGCCAGCGAACGTCAACATTCCTATAAATTTGTATCATACACGCTTCTTGAGCAGCTCGAAGCAGAGCTTTCGAACAACGACATTTTTGAGAGCATATTTTATCGGAAACTGGAAAGATACGTCGAGCGATTGATCCCTGCTAAGCCAAAAAGGACTGATCTATCCTCGCCTCGGCACTTGCTCATCACAGGAGGAACAGGAGGGGTTGGCAAAAAAGTGATTAATTTCATGAAACCTGCAAAATTGACAATTGTGGCTAGAAAAGACAGTATTTTCAAGGAAGAACATAAAGAAGCAACGCTGATTAAGTCTGATCTAAACTCGCTGGATCTTCCTGCCAATGAAGTCTATGACACAGTGGTCCATTGTGCTGGCGTCGTTGACAATGGGCTCATATCAGCTATGGACCGCAGAAAAATGGAAAGTGTATGTTTACCCAAGGTCAAAGGTTTGCGCACCTTGTACAAAGAACTGGAGAGAAGAAGACCGACAAAATTGATTCTAGCATCCTCAGTTGCTTGTATTCTTGGCTCTGTTGGACAGGCAAATTATGCTTTCGCGAACGGATTAATGTCATCGTTAGCGGAAAAGCATGATATACCAGCACAAATTATTCACTGGGGACCTTGGAAGGACACAGGCTTGCTCCAGAACCCTCAAAGCGAGAAGATTTACGAGCAAATGCATGCTAGGGGATGGAACCTTCTAGAAAGCAGTAAAGCTCTTGACGTTTTATGCACAGATTCGCAAAATGTGCTTGTGTTCGACGGAGAATTTTCGAAGATTGTTAAATCACAGAGCCACCTACAGAAGTTTCTCAGTGAACTCACAAGTCAGGATGAGGTACTTCCTGAAAGAAGAGCGACGTCTGCCCCTGATGTTCCCCAACAAAATGCAGTGTTAAATCAAATTAATATAGAAAGTATAATTGCAGAAGTCAGCGGAATTCAGGAGATCGCAAAACAACGCCATACACCTTTAATGAATTTAGGGATTGACTCGCTCATGATTGAAGAAATAAGAAGTAAAATCAACGAAAGGCTGGGTTACACTCTAACCTCCAGAGAAATCTACGATAACTGCACGCTCGACAGGCTATCAAAAATACTTGCAAACAACACTAAAATCAGTGTTCCTCGGCCTGATCGTACCTCCAACTCACAAGCACTTCATCATAATGGTGAAATTGCGATAATAGGTTATAGCGGTGCTTTTTCGGGATGCGCAGATATAGACGAGTTTTGGAAGAAAATTCTGGCTGGAGAGGAATGTATTCGCAGAACGAAGTCCGAGGACGAGAGCATTGTCGATGCTGCTGGCGTGATCCCTGATATAGATCAGTTTGATCACAAGTTTTGGAATATGACTCGAGATGATGCATCGATATTAGATCCGCAGCTGCGTATTTTCTTACAAAGTGCATATCATGCACTAGAGATGTCAGGATATGTACGACAGCGAAATGATCTCAAAATCGGCGTATTTGCTGGAGCCGAACCCACAGAATATGGTGATCCGAGCCAAGAGGCAGAAGGTAGTTTACGTCGGTTGTTTGCTATGAACATGAAGGACTTTGTCTCCACTTTCACCGCACACATGCTGAATCTTCGGGGTCCAGCGGTCGGTGTGTATTCCGCCTGCTCAACAGCACTTCTTGCCATAGCTCAGGCTTGCAACTCCCTGCGGCTTGGAGATGTAGATTTAGTGATCGCCGGAGGCATTTCTCTGGTGTTTCCCAATCAAACGCGCTACCTAATCCAAGAAGGTTTGGTGCTATCCCCGAGTGGGACATGCAGACCATTTGACCAAGAGGCGGATGGTACAATCAGAGGTTCGTCCGTAGGATGTGTAGTGCTCAAGCGATTGGATCAGGCTCTAAGAGATGGAGACCATATCGCAGCCGTGGTGAGAAGTTATGGCATGAGCAATGATGGTTTACATAAGGCTAGTTTTATGGCTCCAAACTGCGCAGGACAGTTTGAATGCATGCGCGATGCGCTTTCCACATTATCTCCACAAGAAGTCAAGAGAATTGGCTACATTGAATGCCATGGGACCGGCACCCGCGTAGGTGACGAGATTGAGCTTGATGCCGTTAAGCAAGCGTACGGAGATAGGTCTGACCTGTTCCTTGGTTCGGTAAAAGCTAATATCGGGCATGGTTTCGCTGGCAGTGGCATGGCTGGCTTGTTCAAGATTATGAAAATTCTTCTGGAACGAAAGGTTCCTCCTCAAATCAACATAAAGAACTTGCGAAAGGGTATCCCTTACACAATAAATACGAAGCTATCCGGCTTGAGGGCCAATTCAATAGCTGCAGTGAGTTCGTTTGGTATAGGCGGTACAAACGTGCATCTCATTCTGGATCAGCCGCCATGGGATACCATCAAACGAACGGACTCCGGTGGAGTTCATATACTTCCGATATCAGGTACGAC